TGCCGTTTAATGTGCTGGACATCTGAGAGACAGGGACAGGAGCGGACCCCATTCAGACTCAGCTTTATTCGTCCTTTACAAGGAAACCTGTGTCTTCACCTTCACATTTTGGAATCGCAGTTGCTTTTGGACTCTTTTTATGCGGGATCCAGGAAGCTTGATGTATTTCAAAATGTGGAGCTACCTCTCAGGTCCCTTTGCGATGCTGTTTTTTACCTGTTAGTTCACCTGAAATTGACCGCACTGGTTTGGACTTTTACTAAAAGCGCTTGCTTTCTTTCTTGGGTTTTTATCTTGCTGTCAAACGGTGTGACATAAATAAAATGAAAATAAGTGAGTTTGTGGTTTACGAAGCTGCTGCCATATTGTTTCTTCTCTTACTTTGTTATTATTATTAAAATTATTTGTGACCAACAGAGCCGGTTAAAGCAACTATTTCCCCTGAACTGTAGAGCTAGTTCACCAACTTATGGTGTAACAACATGAATCAAAGGCAATCGGTGACTGGAAGATTGCATGATTGGCTTTGACATTTTTGAACGTCAAAACGCACCAATTAGCTCATAAAACATCTTAATAGCTTTCCTTATTTCCATATTTTGCTTATCATTTCCAGGGATTTACAGAATAATAACTGGGATGAACTATCAGGCACAAAAACGTGCTTTAAAATTTTTAATAATAATAATAATAAGAATAATAATGAGGATGATGATGATGAAATTACTAAAAAAAAACTATGGAATTTTAAACTAAATTTGTCAAGTCTGGGGGAATGTCTGGTGTCTTGTCATGTGTTGATCACCTATTGTGTACACCTGGGGTTCCCCTCCCTCATGTGTTCAAATAGTCCTCGTTTCCCATGTCCTGTACCAGTTCGTTTGCGTTTTTCGTCTCTCGTCTTTCGTCTCCCCACGTAATATAAGGTTTTGATTATTTCCCATAGCCATGTTTTGCCACAGCCTTGCCACAGTTTTGTTAATCTTTATTTTGTTACTTTGTCATAGCCATGTTTTGCCACAGCCTTGCCACAGTTTTGTTAATCTTTATTTTGTTACTTTGCCATAGCCTTGTTTTGACCACTGCCATGTTAATCTCGTTTGTACTTTTGCCACAGTCTTGTTTTGATACTTTGCCACAGTTTTGTTAACCTTGCTTTGTTACTTTTGCTCATAGTTTTGCCACAGCCCTGTTTTTTAACCTGTTTTTGTTACAATAAACCCTGTTTTTCTGCATTTCCGCGCCTGAGTCCTCCCTCAAGATCCACCCTCCCTGACAAAATTTTGAAAGTTTTTTTTATTTTTGTTAAATTTTTTGCATGCAACTTTCCACACAGAGACTGTGTTTTACGTCAAATGCTCTAAATAAACTCCGGGACTCACAGGTGGCCGGTTTGCTCCCGTTGAGTCCGTGTCTGAAGTACTGGGGGTTCTCGATTATGGGGATCCTGGTCATGCCGATCACCACGGCGTCCGGCCCCACGTCCAGCATGCAGGGGCTGATGATGGCGTGGTTCACGTGATGAAGAGGACTCGCGGAGTTTTCCTCACCACTTATGACCGCGACTGGCCCTGGAAAAACAAGGCCATCGTTAAAGAGGATGAAAACATCTTTACGGTTAGCGTTTCGGGGACTTTTTCCTGTCAAACAGAGACAGTTTTTCCTGTCAAAAGGACCTCAGATGTGATTAGATTTTTCTTTTTTATGTGTCTCAATATAAGCTTTTGTGATGTTAACTGTTAGCATTTCAGGGACTTTTTCCTGTCAAAAGGACCTCAGGTGTGATCAGATTTTTCTTTTTGATGTGTCTGAACATAAGCTTTTGTGAAGTTAAGTAACTGTTAGCGTTTCAGGGACATTTTTCCTTTCAAACAATGAGAAAAAGGACTTAAGATGTGATTAGATTTTTCTTTTTTTTAACCCTATAATGCCAAATGTATCATATTTCATACATACGGTTTCTGAAGTCTTTTGGATCTGAGTCTTTTTGCATCATTCAGTGGTAAAAGCTTTGCTCACACCCCTGTTGTACACATTCAGATATACCTGATAACAGCCAGTAGAAGACTACAAAAAAATATATTTTTGACTTATTGCACGCTAATTTGATCAAAATAATTTCTGTTTTTTTTTCTTCATATGTTGTTGAGGGGCCAAAGAAAGACTTCAGACTAAAATAATCCAATATTCTTCCTATTTTTTTTGGGATCAGGCTTTAAAGGGTTATGTGTCTCAACATAAGCTTTTGTGATGTTAATAAGTAACTAAGTCAAAGACTCACATGACCTGGGTTCAGTTTCAGCTCGGTTGCCGAACCTTTACACAGAGATGTTCAATAACGAAGTAGAACTACTTAACTACTGTACTTAAGTACCAAAATGCAGTATCTGCAGTATATATTTTTTACCTACTTTGACTTTTACTCCACTACATATTTTTGTTTAATTGAATACTTTCACTTTTACTTTCGCTGGCTGAATCGTTAGTCGTTACTGATATGTAAACGTAATGATAGATAGTTCTGTCCCGGTTTGGGAATACAATGACATATAAGCTTGTAAATAAGCGCTAGTTCACTCAGGACATAGCAGCTAACGTTAGCTAAAGCTAACCTAGCTGGCTAGCTGTATGATAACGTTAGCTAAAGCTAACCTAGCTGGCTAGCTGTATGCTACATGCTAGCATAAAGGCTCAGCTCAGGATTCTGACACTGGAATAATAAATAATAGTAGATGAAGTGCTGTTTATTGCTAATGCAGATGTAATTTTCTGTTTTTTGTAAACAGCTGTATGGCCTTTCACACGTTTGAAATAATATAAACAATATCTATGCCACTTTTGACTGCCTTTTTTTAATATACACAGTACTTTTACTTATACTTATACTTGTACTTTCGATACTTAAGTAGCAATTTTTTAAATACTTTAACTTGCAATACTTAAGAACAAAAAAAATGGAGTACTTACGTACTTCCACTTAAGTATGGTGTTTAAAGAACACTTCTACTTTTACTCAAGTCAATTTTTTAATATAGTACCTGTACTTCTACTCCACTCCTCTACTCCAGTACTTTATACTTCTCTGCCTTTACATTATATTTTTGAAACACGATAGCATAAAGATGGTGCAGACCGTCTCCTCTTTGCCTCCCGACTCTCCAGCTGTGGTTTCAATAGGAGCATATGATTTCAACATAAAAAGTAACTTTATATGCAGCTGAAAGGGTGCGACTCCGAAGCTCAGAAAACATAAAGACGGGCCAGTGGATGCTTCGGAGATCAATAAGCAAACAGAGCACCTGATATGTGTCACAGAATCTGGTGAGGGAGCTCCATAACAGATAAAGATCCTCTCTCAGCTTCTCTTATCTGCCCAGAGGAGGCAGTGAGCTAAGTGTTTTGTAATTTCTGCTGTCCGTTTAATACAACACACACTCCACGGTTATTTGAGGAACAGAGGTGAATTGCCCGGATTATTGACTCCTTGGCAAACACACCACAGTTTGTATGAATGAGGGGTTGTGTGTCTGAGACAGTGAGGCCCGGGGGACTCCCACTTTTTCTCTCTGTACACCTCTAACCTCCAAACAGAGTCCCGTTTTCCAGACTTACTGAGATTACCTGAAGCTTTCCCACTTTGTTTACCAGGGATTTCACATCCTTCCCTTTTACTTGTAAAAATAAAAGTGATAGTAACAAATATAATTATGATACGATTGATTACAATAATGGTAATCAAGATACTAAATAATAACAATGATAATAATAATTGTAATGATAATAATGAGGATGTTGAAAATATGCGAAAATAAATAAACCGAATATTTTTTTTAATATGCATATTTTATTACCATGCAATAAGTAAAAATTATTGTTGTGTATCAGGTATATCTGATTGTCTACAACAGGATTTTGAGTTTTTACCATTTTAAAGTTTTTACCATTAAAAGATGCACAAGGTCTAAGATACCTAACATTTCAGAAGCCGTGTGTATCAAATCTAATCCATACGGCATCACAGGGGTGAGAACAGTATATTGAATATTTTAAATTATTTTTAATATTAATTATTAACTCATTGACTGCCAAAGACGTCTATAGAGGTCTTTTATGTTTTTCAACGAGAGTGGCTGGGGGACGATCTGCTAAAGCTTGTCCGTAAATATCGGCTTCTAGACAGAGTATGTAGTAACAAATTGACCCTCTAGGGGGCAGTGCCACTTTTGATGGGAGATGAGCATAGATTGTAGGCAAATAAGAAAAAGGTAACGGTTCGCTATGAGAGAACATGTCGCCGGTGAGACGCAAGTCCAGGAAGAACGGAATAAGGTAGAAACAATTTTTTTTTCCTGATGAAAGAAGAGAGTCTACTCTTTATTTTGGTGTGTTCGGTGTTTACAGAGTCATAGCACAAACTATTCTGTGGCTCTTGAAAAATCAGTCAAAATGCTCCAAAAACTCTGGCAGTATGGGACTCTGTTCTGAAAATGGCTGCCAGTCAATGAGTTAAATAATAATAATTTTGATAATTTTGAAGTGTTATTGAATTTCTTTTTTTTACTTTCCAAAATTGTTCAGCAAACGTGGGACGAAAGAGACACTGTGAACACGACAAATAGACGCTCGCCAAACCTTTCATGCTGAACTTTGACCTCCGGCCGTATTTGCTGAGGAGCAGGAAGAAAACCACCAGGACCACGCAGGCAAATCCGGTCAGGCCCACGGCCACAGAAACCTGCACACGGGGCCAGGATTAAAGACCCATCCAGAATCAGAATCAGAATCAGAATCAGAAATACTTTAATAACCCCAGAGGGAAATAATTTTTGTTACAGGCTCCATAAGCAAAACAAAGGCATATACATATATACATTTCTATACATATATACATATATATACAAAATTCCTCATAAATATAGCTAGATATATACATAAAAAACTATATGTGTATATGTAGGTCAAAATGAGAGGTGGATAGTGTCAATGATTAAGTTTGACTCTCAGAGGGAGGCGTTGTACAGATTGATGACCACCGCTTCCTATCCCAGATTTCTGTCTGTCCTGATACTATGGATCGATGCATTTAACGTGTTATACGGATTAAACAAACTACATTAGTGAATTGGAATGCATAAAATAATTAAATAATGCATATGCTATGATTCACACACTCACCCCAAACGTGTCTTCCATAGGTTTATGAGTGTCTGCCGTCGGAGTTACTGGAAAAAAACAGAGGCAAGAAAAGTTTATCTGTACCTGATGTTTTATACACATCGACAATTTGCAGAGATTTACGAAAATAAAACCATTTAAATGCATATAATTATCATTTACTGTACTAGTTCTGCAGGGGAAGCTATTTATACTGAAAATATTGGATATACTAAGCAGATGTACAGATATTTGAGACAGAAAAAGGTTAAAAAAATGTGTCAGAAAGGTCAATTTCCACTCATATATATATACACGCGTATATATACATTTATTTACATATATTTGGTATGTCTGAGTATAACACTGATTTAGATCCACATCACGTCACATTTGACTTAAATAAGCTCTGTCTGTCGGTATGTGAACATGTGTGAATGTCTATTGAAATGTAAAAATTTAACAGAACACAAAGACTCAGAGCTCTTTTACTTGTGTTTGAAAACAGACTTACCGTAATCATAATCTGTTTCTTGATCTGTAAAAAGGAGCAGACAAGTAGTATGACAAGATATACAATACAATAATGGTAATATGCGCTCATATACATGTCGAAAGGTGAGAAAAATAGGCTTCACTAAAAGACAAGCAGGGTAGTCCTGGGTCTGAGTTTTTAAGTTTTCACTCAATAAAATATATTCTATAGTTAACCCTGTAATGCCAAATATATCATATTTAATACGTACGGTTTCTGAAATGTTTTGCATCTGACACCTTTTGCATAATTTAATGGTAAAAACTTTGCTCAAAATCCTATTTTACACAATCATATAAACCTGATAACAGGGGGCAGAAGACTACACAAAAAATAATCTTGACTTATCGCATAGTAATAAATTATTAATAATAAAAATGCATTTCTGTTTTTTCTTTTTACATATTTTGTTAAAAGGCCAAATAAGGACTTCAAACAAACAAAAAAATCATTTTCTCTTTTATTTTATTCTTGGATCAGGCTTTAAAGGGTTAATATAACTGTTTGAGCAACAGGTCAAACCACAGTGGGAATAACTACAGATGCTCTTTATTTTGGCCTTTACAGCCATTAGTGTAGCAGGCAGTGTGATAACAGATATTAATTCAGCCGGACTATAAAATCCCGGTTTACCATCGAAGGGCTTGTTGAGGAAGTGCCCGTACACGGTGGTGGAGACGACCCCCAGGTAGTTGGTCGCTTCCAAAGTGTAGTTGCCGTTATTGTGGTGCGTGGGGTTTTTAAACGTCAGGCACCCCTCTATGTAGTCCTGGTAAACGACCATGTCGGGTCGCAGGTACTCAGAAGGAGAGATTTCCTTAAATGAAGAGTAATAAAAGGTAGACAAATGAGAATTTCATTTTTTTATTTTAATTTATTTGCATAGTGCTTTTAAAAACTCAAATATTAGAATCAAACAAAAACAATTAAATCAGAATACCTAGGCAGACATTCCCTTTGGTAATAGTCCCTTTTTTATTACTCCTTTGAGACTCATTTTGACCAATTTTTAACTTTAATTGAGACGATTACTGTAAAAAAAGGCTCTAAGACCCACACAATACATATTTAAAACAATATTTTCATCAATAAGGAAACATAACAAGGTAACGCTTGAATATAATTGTTTTAGTGTATTTTACAACTGATTTAAGAAACGGTCAAAATTGATCCATTAATATAAGAAATGGTGTCATAAAGCAAACCAAAGAGGAAGAACCCAGAACCTTCTTGCTGTGACTGCCCCATATTATTCATTTTATACATTTAATTCTGGAAACATCTGCATAGGAAGTAAATGTTTAACCCTGTAATGCCAAATGTATCATATTTGATTCATACGGTTTTTGAAATGTTTTGCGTCTGACACCTTTTGCATAATTTGATGGTAAAAACTTTGCTCAAAATCCTATTGTAAACAATCAGATACACCTGATAACAGGGGGCAGAAGACTACACAAAAAATAATCTTGACTTATTGCATAGTAATAAATTATTAATATTAAAAATGTATTTCAGTTTTTTCTTTTTACATATTTTGTTAAAAGGCCAAATAAAGACTTAAAACCAAAAAAAAAAGTAATTTTCTGTTTTGTTTTATTCTTGGATCAGGCTTTCTCTGCGCTGTGTTGCTTCCTTGTATATTTGTTTGCTTTTGCTGTACTTTATGCACCTTTTCCTCCTTTCGAACTCTAACCGATGTGTGACCGGTGAATTTTTCCACTGTGAGATCAATAAAGCTCTCATCTTATCTTATCTTATCTTATCTTATCTTATCTTATCTTATCTTATCTTATCTTATCTTAAAGGGTTAATCTGCACAACAGCGTTCGTGGAGTAGCGTCCTTCTCACCTCGTTGTTGTAGAGCCACCTTAAAACGGGGTGGGGGGAACCCCGGACCGTAAACTCGATGCAGGTGTCATGGCGACGCTCCGGCTCCTTCAGCCTCACGATGCTGGGGGCAACTGGAATAATTAGCAGAAGGGTTTTTTGGACCTTTGGAGACCTCAAATGATGAATTTGTCATGTCTGTGTGTGTTGTCATGTGGCAGGTCCTAAACTGTGGAACTCTCTGCCCACTGAGTTACGTTCATTTACTGACCTGCCACTGTTCAAAGCTCAACTTAAAACGTATTTGTTCAGGATGGCTTTTTGCATGTAGGGTCTCTGTATACTGGGTTCTGTCACCGATGTGTTTGTCTTTGTGTATTATTTTGTATTGTTCGATAGTTTGATCTGTTTTTATTCTGTAAAGCACTTTGATCAGCTCCGGTTGTTGTAAAGTGCTATATAAATAAACATTGATTGATTGATGATTGATTGATTGATTGATGTCTTGATTACCTATTGTGTACACCTGGGGTTCCCCTCCCTCATGTGTTTAAATAGTCCTCGTTTCCCATGTCCTGGGCCAGTGCGTTTTCGTCACTTTGTGTTTCGTCATTTTTGCTTTTGCTTTTGTGTCTTCGTCACCTTCGTTCCTCGTCTTGCCCACGCCACGTAAGATTTAGACTTTTGCACTTTGCCACAGCCTTGTTTTTGCCACAGTCCTGTTAATCTTGTTTGATACTTTTGCCATAGTCTTGTTTACTTCTAGTACTTTTTGCCATAGCCTTGTTAATCTTGATTTGATACTTTGTTCATAGACTTGTTAATCTTACTTTGATACTTTGTTCATAGTTTTGTCACCGCCTTGTTTTTTAAGCCTTGTTTGGTCAACCACTCCTTTCGAGTGCGTTTTTTGTTATAATAAACCCTTGGAGTCGAGCTCTCCTTATCTGAGTCCCCCCTAAGATCCACCCCCTAACAGAATTGTTCAAATTTTCTCGGATAAATGGCTAAAATGACAGTACTGCACACATTTGATTAGCGTGCACGTGTGTGTATTAGGGATTGGACGGTTTCTGAAAACCGTCTGAACCGTTGGGTTGGACTGTCTCGGTTCGGTTGGCGTGTGTTGCGTTGGGTTCATGCTGCTCCTTTTTCTCAGAGGGAAGCGTTTACACTCCAGAGCAGAAGGTGGCGCTACTGCGCCCAAAGCCAACCACCAGTAGGAAACAAGAAGAAGAAGGAAGCAGCGTAGCCGATAAAAATCAGACGCGCCAACAGCAGTTTATATTTCTGCTGTATGGTACCAGTTTGCATTTAGAGGGAAGCACATGTTGGAATTAGCACTGTTTCCTCTCTGGCAATGCCAGAATCTCACCTACTTTTAACCTAAGACTGTCACAATAATGTATCAAATGTCAGACTGCTTTTTTCTTTCAGTTTTAACCTGACTATACAAGACATAATAGATTTTCCTAACAATCAACATACACCAAACCGAACCGAAAACCGTGACCACGAAACCGCGAATCGAATCGAACCGAACCGTGGATTTTGTGAACCGTCCCACCCCTAGTGTGTATGTGTGTGTTTGTGTGTTCTGTGTGTAGACTCACAGTGAACGGTCAGGTGGACGGACGCATTGGTCATGCCCACGACGTTGGTGGCCGTGCAGGTCAGCAGGAAGTTGTTGTCGTCCCTGCTCACGCTGACCAGCGTGATGTTGATGGAGTGGATGTTGTGGTCGTAGACCGAAGGCTGGAGGGGAAAGCACGACAACACGTGCACGTACCAAAAGAGAAGGAAAGAACACATCAAATGACACTCAAAAGTGTGTTAGAATCGGGCTATAATTACTCACTTTAGTATAGTATGTTATAACTTAATCCATGTAAATGACTGATTGTGTTATACCTTTTTAGATTCATATTATTCCCTTTATAATTATACTTTTGGGTTAAACTCTCTAACTGTGCCTACTCCTCCTCCTCTCTGTTAGAGTAGATACTCGTCTTTAAGGTCAATATTCACACACTTCCTAATCACATTCCACCGAAACCTGCATGAATTAGGACCTGGCCTGTTCATGTAGGAGCTAACTGGTTACACTTGGTTACGTCCAGCTATAAGGCTGAAGATTGGTATTTCGGTCCTGACGCTTGTTAATTTAAGCATACTTTCAAGGTAGTGCAGTAATATTACAAAGTCACAACCACGTCACCACAACATTTGAATTAATACTCTATCATTAATGGGGACATATTACGCAAAAACCAAGTTTTTATCATTTGATTATGTACATTTGGGACTGTGGAGGGCCTATCAGCAGGCAAAGTGTGAAAAAAAATGACTCAGTCATGTTTTTGTGGGCCGCCTCAGTCTGAATCCAGGAGATAAATCAGGAGGTTTCAGGAGTGGGTAGTTTCTGACGTCATTAGCTCTAGCTCATTATAATATTCCAGCCTTTCACCTGCATGTTGCCCCCCCCCTCAGCTTACTCCACTATCTGTGGAGACGTCCTGGTAGCCTGAGCGTTAGCATGGTAGCGTTAGCATGGTAGCGTTAGCGTGCCGACGTGGGCACACCTCCCGGAAGAAGTGGGTGGATTGCCTGTGTCTCATTTGCATTTAAAGAGACAGGCACTCCAAAGCGAGCGCTCTGAACGGGGCTGTTTTGGGTTAGGGTTAGGGTTAGGGTTAGGGTTAGGGTTAGGCAGGGGGACTGAACTGCTATTGGGCATCATCCTTATGGGATTTGGACCAAAGCTTGTCACGGACATTACATTAGGACACCAGGGAACTAGTTTAACTTGTTGAAATAGGGTATAATATGTCTCCTTTAAGTCAAGCCTAGCATGGTACCACCAAAAAGAGGTCAGTTATCTGTCCATGACTGACCACTGTGCTGTGAGTCAGTGTGAGTCGGTGTGAGTCTCTCCTACCCCGTGTGTTGTGATGGAGTGCAGGCCGTTGACCGGCCAGTCCACCTCCGGTAGGGGAGATCCGGATCCATTGCAGGTCGCCGTTACCTGATCGCCCTCGACGACCGTTATGCTGCTGTGGCTCACACTGATCACTGGCAGGTCTGGAAGGGACGAACAGAATCTGTCCATAATCTGTACGTAGTTTCTATCGGCCTGGTTTTTAGTAGCAGTGGTTAAATCAGGGTCTATCTATCTATCTATCTATCTATCTATCTATCTATCTATCTATCTATCTATCTATCTATCTATCTATCTATCTATCTATATGCATGCTCCACCCTCCCTCACACTTTCCTCCATTTTATTTAACTCCAGCCAGCTACCCAGGTAGTATTTTTTGTTTTTTTCTGTTGTTTTTCCAAGTCCCCACACAGGTAAGTTGGTTCTTTCTGCAGATAAATATGTTTTTTGGCAGGTTTTCTACCAACCTACCTACCTACCTACCCGCCGACCTACCTACCTACCTACCTACCTACCTACCTACCTACCTACCTACCTACC